GCTTCCCGAGTGCTGGGATTACATGTGTGCGCCACCACACCTGGCTTGTTTTGTTTTTTGAGACTGGGTCTCACTATATAATTCAGGCTGGGCTTGAACTTATTATGTAGCCCAGGCTGGCCTTAAATTCGTGGCAGTCTTCTTGCCCCAGCCTTCCACATGTAAAACCCACATGGGTTTACAGGCATAATCTCTTTTTTTTTTTGGTACCGGGGATCGAACTCAGGACCTTGCGCTTGTGAGGCAGGCACCGGAACCACTGAGCTAAACCCCTGGCCCACAGGCATAATCTCTTGAGACAGGGTTTTACTAAGTTGGTAAGTTGCCCAGGCTGGGTTTGAGCTGCTATTCTGCTGCCTCATTGGTATGTGCCACCTTGCCTGGCTCCTTTTTGTTTTTTACTTTGAGACAAAGTCTTGCTAAGTTGCCCAGGCTGGCTTGAGTTTGGGGTCACCCTACCTCAGCTTCTAGTATTGCTGGGATTGCAGGTATATACCACAGTTCCTTGCTTATTTCACTGGTTTCTTAAACTGTGTATTTCATTACTTTTCAATCTTTTTTCCTATTATAAGCACTTTTTCTAAATTCTACTCCAACTGCATTCTGTTGGTTTGTTATTTTTCTTTAATATTTAGAAAATTTCCATTTGTGGAAGTAGAGTCAATAGTAAGTGAACCACCATACTGATCACCTACCTTCAACAATGGCCTTTTTTTTTTTTGCAGTACCAGGGATCGAACTCAGGACCTTGCATTTGCCAGGCAGGCGTGGTGCCACTGAGCTACATGCCTGGCCCAACAATGGCCAATTTATGGGCATTCTTATTTCATCTGTTCTGTCAGTTACCCTCTCTACCCTCATTCCCATTGTGTGTGTGTATGGTGGGGACTGGGCATGCTGGTCAAGCCCTAAACCAGTGAAGGAGAACCTTTTAGAGACGTGTACCCAAACTGCAACCCCAAGGGCCAGGGATTTAGCTCAGTGGTTCTGCCGCCTGCCTCGCAAGTGCAAGGTCCTGAGTTCTATCCCCAGTACCAAAAAAAAAAAAAAAAAAAACCACAACAAACTGCAACCCCAAGCCCACTTATTTATCACAAAATGCCAATATTGCAATTAAACTTGAATACTGAGGTTTTAGTTTAGAAAAAACAACTCATACATTAATATCTTTTGTCTTAAAAGAAAAACAAATATTATTATCATTATTATTATTATTATTATTATTATTATTATTATTATTATTATTATTATTATTATTATTTTGGTACCACTAAATCCCCGGGCAAAGAAAAACAAATATTAACATACATGCCATAAGTTGGCCACACTTCCCTAAACCATTGAGCCATGTCCCTACTGCTGCCAAATTGTTTTAAAGAAATTCACTTTATTATTTCATCCATAATACTTTAGTATTTAGTTGTCTTGTTATTATTATTTTTTTTACAAAAACATCATACCAGTATAAAACTTTAAAATTCCTTCCTCCCTTGTTTCCTTTCTTCCTTCCATACTAAGGATTGAACCCAGTGCCTTAACCCTGAGCTACATCCTCCTGGCCTTTTTATCTTTGAGACAGGGTCTTCTGACAGTCACTGAGTTATCCAGGCTGGGCTGGAACTTGGGATCCTTCTGCCTCAGCCTCCTGAATGCTGGGATTTCAGGTGTATACTGCCATACCTGGGTCATCATTTTATTTTCTATTTTCCCATGCTTTATGTTTTAGTATGTCTTGTGTAATCATCAATAGCTGCAAGGTTTTGTGTTTTTTTTTTAACTTATTGTACTTAATGTTTATTGTGATTATTGATACATTTAGATTGATTTCTGTACCTTCATATTTGATTCTACTTGCTGGTTTGCTTTATATGTTTCTTTTTTCAGTACTTTCTTTCTTTTCTTTTTTTTTTTTGGTACCGGGGATCCATCTCAGTTTCAGTACTTTCTTTCTTTTTGTTTTTTTGGTACCAGGGATCGAACTCAGAATCTTGCACTTGTGAGGCAGGCGCTGGAACCGCTGAGCTAAATCCCTGCCCCTTCAGTACTTTCTTATTGCTTATTTTTCTGCATCCTTACTTCCTCTACCCTTTTAGAAATATATACATTTATTTCCTCCCTCCTTCCTACTCTGTCCAGGAGTTTCAGATTGAGTCTATAGCTTAATAGCCCCATCTCAGGGGCAGTATTCCTCTGGAGAGAGTCACCTCGCCTGTCATTTGCTGTATTTTGTGGAGGTAGGGAAGGCTCTTGCTGGAGTGATTGTTGATTCAGGATCTTGGGCTTGTGAGGCAGGTGTGGCACCACTGAGCTAAATCCTTGGCCCTCTTGTTTTTTGTTTGCTTTTTTTAGAGACAGACTCTTCTTGTATAACCCAAGCTGGCTTTGAATGCACAGGAATCCTCCTACCTCTGTCTCTTGAGTGCTGAGATCATAGGTGTGCGTTGCCCTACTTGACTGGGGTGATTCTTAAAGGCCTCCCAATTTTTTTTTTTTTGGTACCGAGGATCAAACTCAGGACCTCGTGCTTGCCAGGCAGGTGCTGTGCTGCTGAGCTACATCCCCAGCTCCCTCCCAATCTTGTTTGCAAACCCAGTAGTGAATGCAATTGTTCTGTGATGACAGAGTTTCTTAGAATACTCAGATTGCTGTTAGGCTGGAATCAGAGGTTTTTTATTTTTTCCATGTTTCCTTCATTTCAGTTTTTTAGTTTTTGTTTATAGGTCTCTCACCCCCCCCCCTTTATTTTTTGAGACAGGGTCTCACTATATAGTTCAGGCTGGTCTTGAACTCACTATGTAGCTCAGTCTGGCCTCAAACTGATGGCGATCCTCCTGCCTCATCCTCTCGAGTGCTGGGATTACAGGCATGTGCTACCATGCTTGGTTCCCCTGCCCCATTTTATAGAGGGCATCTAAATTGCTGCAACTGTCCTTGAATTTATAATCCTTCTGCTTCAGCCTCCTAAGTAGCTGGAACTACAGGTTTACACCAATCCTGGCCAGTCCTTTTCTTTCCTTGTGCTTGGGACTGAGCCCAGGGCCTCATACCTGCTAGTTAAGCACTCTACCATTGAGCTATAGCCCAGCTGTTTAAAAAATTTTCATTTTAATATGTTATCTCCAAGTTGCCATGACTGGTCTTGAAATCAAGATCCTCCTGCCTCAGTCTCCCAAGTTGCTGGGATTATAGATGTATGTCATTACACCTGGCTCCTCCGCTCTCTTTAGTTTTCTTTCTTTTTTTGAGACAGGGTCTCACTGTGTGTACCAGGTTGGCATTGAACTTGAGACAATTCTCCTGCCTAAAGTGTGGGATTACAGGCATGCACCACCACACCAAACTGCTCCTCTCTTTTTAAAAAATATTTTTACATAGTTATAATGTATCTACAAATTTATTTAATTTTTCCCCATCTCCCAGGTACTTTTTACATTTTGAATATTCATCACAAATACAGTTATTATTAATTAGGTTACATTATATTGAAGACCAACGACATCATGTAAGTATTTCAGACCAGCCTTGAACTCACTGTGTAGCCCAGGTTGGCTTCAAGCTCAGGGTGATCCTCCTGCCTCAACTTCTCGAGTGCTCGGATCACAGGTGTGTGCCACCACACCTGGCTCATTTAAGTGTTTCTGATTTTTTCTAATTATATTTAATTTTCTATGAATTTCCTTGTAATGAACTTTTTAAGTCCTTGGAACAGTTTCTATAAATATAAAAGTATATGAATATTCTAAAATTATAAATCATCTTAAAATACTGTAGATTATATGAATTTATTATAAAGAAGAAATGCAAGCTGGGTGAGTTGCTATGTACCTGTAATTTGAACACTCTGGGAAGCTGAGTCAGGAGAACCGCAAGTTTAAGACTAGCTTGGGCAACTTAGTGAGACCCTGTTTCAAAATAAAAAATTAAAAATGCTGGAGGTGAGTTCAGTGTGAAGGCCCCAGTGCCTTTGAAACAAAAAGGAAATGCTTATATGGAGGTATATCCTAGCCTAGACTGAATATTTGCTGGTACTTGTTTATTCTTTTTCTTTTCATATGAGGTAGGTGCGGCACCACTGAGCTAAATCCCTGGCCCTTTTGTTTTTTTTTTAAGACAGGCTCTTCGCTGGGTTATACAACCCCAGGTCTTATCACTGAACTACATCTGTAGGCCTTTTATAATTCTTAAATTTTGTGACAGGGTCTTACTAAGTCAATAAATTGTTCAGGTTGGGCTCAAACTTGCTATCCTCCTGCCTCAGCCTCCCAGAGTACTGCGATTATAGGTTTGTGCCACCAGGCATGGCTTGAATTGTTTTCTTTTTTTTTAAATTTATGACTTTATTTTATGTAGAAATCACATAAGTGTTTTCTAAGTACCAACTGCTTTTTAGGTATTCTATTCAGTGAGTCTTATGATCCAATATGAACATCTCTCCCATGGTTATTCTTCTTTGAAGACAAAATTAGACACTGAGTTAAAATCATAACGCTTTGTCACCTGAATTTTTTGCCTATCTTACATTATTGCTGTCACTGTTGTTGTAAATATAAGTCCTCCAATTTACTTGTAGTTATTAATCATGAATTTAATTTTCCATATGTGAAACTTGGGGAAATTGTTGAATTCTATCAGGCATCATCTATAAGGCAGGAGTACATTTACCTTGGCCCCCTTCAGTGTACAACATATTAGTATGTGAAAATTGATGCTTAAGGGCCGGGGATTTAGCTCAGTGGTTTCACCCCCTGCCTTGAAAGCTGAAGGATCTGAGTTCGATCCCCGTACCAAAAAAAAAAAAAGAAAATTGATGCTTAAATTTCTTGTGGTGTCATTAGTGTTTATAAACATTAAATAAGTCATTTTACCTGACGTTAAGCAGAGCAGCCAAAATTAGGAAGCACAGAGTCAGTTCCTGGAGTTAATTGGTTATTTTCTAAGAGTTGTCTTTCACAGCTCATGTTCAACTAAGCATCATGCTGAATTTATATTTTGTTTTTCAGGTGTTTCATTTTTTACTTTTGGTACCTTAAAGAGTGTTGGGCTTTCCCATGCCCCTACCCTTCTTGGCAGACCGTCATCAGACAATCCTAATGTGTTAGTTTTGAAAACTCACATAAATTTACTTTGTGGTGGTGTTGCTGGAGCAATAGCACAGACAATATCGTAAGTTTCTTCATCAATTTTTCAATCAAACTGTAGTTACCAATTCTGATTTTTGTGTTAGTTAATCATTTTATTTTTTTCTAATAGATTATTCAAAAACAAGAGCCCTAGGGCTGGGGATTCAGCTCAGTGGTGCCACTGCCTGCCTCGCAAGCACAAGGTCCTGAGTTTAATCCCTAGTACTAAAAAAAAAAAAAAGAGTCCTTACCAAAAACGAGTATTAACTTTTTTATAAGTATTAATACTTTTTTGCCTTCACTTTAAGCACATTATAAATAATTGGATGCCAAATTGATCAAATTAATCTATGCATTCATTTAAAGGAAAGAGCCCAGGCATGGTGTAGTATATGCCTGAAATCCCAGTATGTGGGAGGCTGAGGCAGGATTACCTTGAGTTCGAAGCCATCCTGGGCTACATAGTGAGTTCAAGACCAGCCTGAACTACATAGGAAGACCTTATCTCAAATAACCAAAAAAAAAAAAAAAAAAGAAAGAAAGAAAGAAAAAGACTTCATTTGAATTTTCTCATAAATTTGCATGAAATTTCTGAAGTTTGAGCCATTTAGTGTGTGTGTGTGTGTGTGTGTGTGTGTGTGTAAGGAGACACAACTTCTCTTGAATTAGATCTTAGAGGTCTGCTTTGACCAGATAATATACTGGGCATCAGGAAATTCATTGAATAAATTTAAAAAGTCTGTATTTTTTTTTTTAAGTCTGTATTTTTATTAAGACAGCAGCAAAATTGTCCTACTCTCTAACTGGATTTAGAGATAATATGCATATTGGGAACAATGATAAAGGCATCATCACTAATTGGAAAGAAAGATGGTTTCAGGTTGGGGATTTAGCTCAGTGGTTTCCCCGCCTGCTGTGCAAGTGCAAGGACCCGAGCTGGATCCCCAGTACCAAAGAAAGAAAGATGGCTTTAAAAAATTTTCCTAGCCTAGGCCAAGAGAGGTCAAGAAAAATGAGATAGAGGCTGGAATAATACGAAAAACTTTTCAGAAATAGAAAATTATCTGTGACTCAGAAGAAATATCCTGAAAAACAGGAAGACAAGGAATTAGTAGTATATGCAGAGAATTACAAAAAGAGTATCCATGTAATCCCAGCTAAGTGGGACTTTAAGGTAGGAGCAGTATAAATTCCAGGCCACTCTAAGCAATTTAGCAAAGCCTGCCTCAAAACAAAAATAAAAAGGTCTGGGGATATAGAGGCCTTAGGTTCAATCTCCAGTACTGGGAAAAAAGGGTACACTGAGAAAAGTAATGGGGTCATTGGATTTCACAATTAGGGTTCCATTTGTAAAAACAGATTTGGCGTATTTGTGTGAGAGAGCAGATTGTCCTAGCTTCAAAGTAAAAAGGAAAAAGTGTTTAGTTTACTTTTAGAAACTCATCTGTGGAATCTTGTTCATTTACAGAGAAATGATTGCCCCCAGGTATTCTGATTCTCTTCTTGGTTTTATTGCCCCCCTTTCTTTATTTTTTTAATTTAAAATTTTTTTTTAAATTTTGTTTTGTTTTTTGAGACAGGGTCTCACTATGTAGATCAGGCTGGCCTTGAACTCACTATGTAGCCCAGGCTGGCCTCAAATTCATGATGATCCTCCTGCCTCAGCCTCCTGAGTGCTGGGATTACAAGCTTGGGCCACCACACCTGGCTCCCTTTCTTTAGTATTAACTCCCAAGTTAGACTCTTAAAATCTGCCCCCTTTTTGTTTTTTGTTTTTGAGACAAAGTCTTGCTGTGTAGTCAGACTGACCTTGAACTCACTATGTAACTCCAGGCTAACCTTGAATTCATGACCTACTCCTGCCTCAGCCTTCCTAGTGCTGGGATTACAGGTGTGGCCTGTAAGTTAAGCATGTAATTTTTAATACTAATAAACTGCTATTTTGGTAGTTGCTGTCCAAGGAAGTCTGATCTGGGTTTTTGGGAGTCTCAATAATCTTTTGTTTCTAACTAAGAAATTGGATGAAGACATGAAGCAAAAAAATTACTACATCTGACGTCCCACTGCTTAAGCTATGTCCCCACCTATGTGTCCAAAATCAAGTGAGTCCCCTCGCTGTCTCTCCACGTTTTCAGTTTCTCAGTTCTTGTGCTATTGTAACACTTTCTTCCCTTTGCAGATCTTACTGACTTACAGCCTCCTCTTCCTTGCTGAGCCAGACTTTAGTTTTCTGCCGTCCAAATCAGTGTCTAGAACATGTTGTCTGTCTTCATGGTTTCAGTACATGCACAGAAAACCACATCTGTCTACTCCACCATTCCTGACACCCCATTCCATCTCCCCAGTGTCCGCATGTTCCTCCTTGGTCTGCTATTAGCGGAAACCTCGAGGCTCCAATGTTTCCCTTCCGAGCTGGGTGGGGCTCTGTGTAGAGCCACCTCCTTGCAGTTAGGAAGTCCTGGGTCTATGCGCAGCACTGCAAAAACAAAACCCAAATATTACCTTTTTGTCTTCCTCTTTATAACATCTTCAACTCCCAACCTTCCTTTTTGTTTTTTTTTGGGTTTTTTTGGCAGGGTCTCACTATGTAGTTTAGCCTGGCCTCGAAATCACAGCAATCCTCCTGCCTCAGCCTCCTGAGTGCTGGGATTATAGGCATGTGCCACCAAGCCTGGCCTTTTTTTTTTTTTTTTGGTAGGTACTGGGGTTTGAACTTGGGTCCTTGCGCTTACAAGGCAGGCGGAGGAACCACTGAGCTAAATCCCTGGCCCGCCTATTTGTTTTCTAATAGTAAATTTAAATGTATGTAAAAACATAATTATTTTTATTATACATCACCTTTGTCTATATTAGATACCATGGAGAAGTTCAAATAGGAAAGCAGAAAGCAACTTTGTAACATTGCAGAATATGTTTGTACTTCTGCAGTTGTTGTGAAGAGGAGGTGAGATAATGTGCATAAGTCACCTGTCACAGGACCTAACACAAATGGTATCAGCAAAATGAAAGGAGCTTTAATAATCACTCGTAGGAGAGATTATTTTTGCAAGTCTATAATTTTCTCTGTCCTTGAAATGTAGTTCACTGTATATTAGTTCTAGCTCTTAAAGAATATTTTGTACTAATCTACTGTAATCAAGAGGACTTGGTGAAATTCTGGTAGTAGTTCCCAGCTGGGGGTGATTTTGATTCCAGTGAACATTTGTTTATGTCTGGAGACATTTTTAATTGTCACAACTATGGGGCTTCTGCTAGCATTTAAACTTTTTTTTTCCCTTTACCGGGGATTGAACTCAGGGCCTTGCACTTGTTAGGCAAGCACAGCACCACTGAGCTACATCCCCAGGCCTCACTTAAACATTTTTTTGTGTAATTCAGTTTTTAATAATGACTGTTACACTTAAGCAGTCTTCAACAACAAAGGATGATTAAAAATGTCAGTAGCAGGGCCGGGGATTTGGCTCAGTGGTTTCGCTGCCTGCTGCGGAAGCGCAAGGACCCGAGTTCAATCCCTGGTACCAAAAAACAAAAAATGTCAGTAGCAGCAAAGTGGAGAGCTGTAATCCCAGCCCTTGGTGGGCTAGGGCAGAAGGATTGCTGTGAGTTCAAGGCCAGCCTATGCTGTGTAGTTCATGGCCAGGCTGGACAACATAGCGAGCCCCTGTCTTAAAAAAATAACAAGGGCCTGGGATTTAGCTTAGTGGTTTTGCTGCCTGCTGTGCAAGCTCAAGGACCCAAGTTCGATCCCCGGTACCAAAAAAAAAAAATAAAACAACAAAAATAAAGTGGAGAAACCCTAATGAAAAGCACTGTTTCTTCAGGAATTGGCATTTAATTTGTCCTTAAGGAGTGAACAGAACTGGATATTGTGATGGGACAGAAGACTCCTCTGAGAGAGGCAGGAGACCCTGTATCGTTCATTGATTTTTTTGTTTTTGTTTTTCCTTTGTTTTTTGAGACAGGGTCTTGCTATGTAATTCAGGCTGGCTTTGAGCTCCTGGCAATTCTCCTACTTTAGCCTCCTGAGGGCTGGTATTACAGGCATGCACCATCATGTCTGGGTCTTTCATTGATTTTATTCATGTGCTTATATCCTGATTCCTAGATTAGACAAAACAGTAAGAGCTTAGGGATGTATTAGTTCCTGTTGTATATGGGACTTTCCATTTACTGGTGGCTAAATAGAGAATGAAAAATTATTTTTAAGTCTTTGTGCCTTTTTCTCTTCTAGCTACCCATTTGATGTAACTCGTCGGCAAATGCAATTAGGAACTGTTCTGCCAGAATTTGAAAAGTGCCTGTAAGTTCTCCATATGTCATTGTTCATTTTCTTTGGGAAATGTAATATTTAAAATCAGTAGGAAGACAGGACTTTAGTCTCAGCAGTAGTTTTTATCTTCCGTATTACCTCCTATAGTACACTGTGCTAACCTTAGAAAGCTTTGATCAGGTCCCAATTCTCTTATCAAAACTTCTATTTTAGCAAGGTGCCATGCCACACACTGTAATCCCAGCACTTGGGAGGCTGAGGCAGGAGGATCACAGCAAGTTCAAGATCTAGGACCGCCTGGATACATAGTGGTTTAAGGCCAACTTGAACTATATTGTGAGACCCTGTCTCAAAAAAAACCCCAAAATAAGATAAAGTAAAATTTTCTGATAGTCACATTTCTACAAGGTACAAAAAGGAACAATAAGGGCCAGGGATTTAGCTCAGTGGTGCTGCTGCCTGCCTCCCAAGCACAAGGTCCAGAGTTCGATCCCAGGTACCAAAAAAAAAAAAGAAACAATAAAATTGTCTTAAGTATTTTTTATTTGCCCAATATTTCTAAAGGTACCACTTCAACATTTTGCTTTTTTTCTTTTTGGTACTGGGGATCGAACTCGGGTCCTTGCACTTGCGCAGCAGGTGGTGAAACCACTACGCTAAATCCCTGGTCCAATATTTTGCATTTTTAATATGAAATCCAGGATATAAATTTTTTTTTTAATTTTTTAAGGTTTTTTTTTTTGGTACTGGGGATTGAACTCGGGTCCTTGTGTTTGCACAGCAGCAGGTGAAACCACTGAGCTAAATACCCGGCCCTTTAAGGTATATTTTTGATGGTTACACTTTTGTTGTGGTTGCTTTGTTATTTGCTGTTTTTGGTTTCGTTTTTGATGCCAGGGATCGAACTTGGTACCTTGCACTTGTGAGGCAGGAGGCAGAACCACTGAGGTAAATCCCTGGCCACTGTTGCTTTGGTTTTTTTGAGACAGGGTCTCACTGTGGCCTTGAACTCAATATGGATCCCATGCTGGCCTTGAACTCAAGGTGGTCCTCCTGCTTCAGCCTCTTGAGTGCTGGGATTACAGGAGTGCAATACTACACATGGCCAAAATTTTAATTTTTGTTAGTATGTGTTTCCAATACATAATGATTACATTGTTATGGGATTAGCTCCTTAAAAAAAATTTTTTTTTTAATGCTATTTTAAAATGCTGAGTTCCTTGCTTGGTGAACTGGCACAGAGGCGTCACCTTCCCTGTTGTCTTTCAGTACCATGCGGGAGACTATGAAGTATGTCTACGGGCACCATGGGATCCGAAAGGGACTGTACCGTGGGTTATCTCTCAATTACATTCGCTGCATTCCTTCTCAAGCCGTGGCTTTTACAACGTATGAACTTATGAAGCAATTTTTTCACCTAAACTAAAAAAAAAAATTGTTCCTTGTGGTTTCTTTTCTTTCATAAACTCTCAGAAGGAAAAATTAAATGCAGGAGAAGCATTACTTGACAGGGGTTATTTACCCTAGCATAGGAACCACTGGTATTTTTTTTTTTTTTTTTGGTACCAGGGATTGAACTCAGGTCTTTGCACTTGTGCAGCAGACAGCGAAACCACTGAGCTAAATCCCCAGCCCTCCACTGGTATTTTAATACTTGATTTATTTTTAAGTCACAAATCAGAAGTGCTTAACTGACTTTTTGATGCTAATCTTTATATCTTAGAACACTGAAAAAAAATTCCTAAGCTGATGCTGGCTAATCAGTTAGGTTATTTGAAACTATTTAAAAGTTTTATTTGTCAGTGCAGTGTTTGTAACTTCATAATGGGGTTCAAGAAATTGCCATTAGCTTTATTACACTGTTTCAAGCTTTTAATTGTAATCATGATTTTTTCTTTTCTCTCCTTTTTTGTGCTCTGTCAAGGGCCAAACCCATGGCCTTGAACATGCTAAGCATGCGCTCTACCACTGAGTTCACCCCAAGCCTGTAATCATGATTTTGTAAAAACTCATAACATTGTTTATTGTTAAGATATGCAGGCTTGGGTAAATTGCAGCAGAATGATGAGAACAGAATTTTTAAGTTCTGTTATTTCTCTTCTTATAATTCTGCTTGACTGGATAAGAGGAGAAATGCTTTTCCTTCATTTTAAAATAAAACGTATTTAAAATGTATTTAAAAAATGACGTATCAGGTTTTATGCAAATGTTATGACCAGGTACTATGAGTGATTTACATGTATTTTTAAAAGTCCATGTATAGGGGCCGGGGATTTAGCTCAGTGGTTCCGGCGCCTGCCTCACAAGTGCAAGGTCTAGAGTTCGATCCCTGGTACCAAAAAAAAAAAAGTCCGTGTATATCAGGAACTTATAATACAGAGTATCTTTGTTCTCAACAACAGAGTAGCGCCACAGTTATGTTTTGTTGGATGGTTTGGTATATACTAGAAGATTGAAAGTGAATTGTGAAATATCCATTATTGTAGATGTAAGTATCAAAGGATGTTTCTGAGCTGTTATGATATGTCAACTAGGTCTTCCATGTAAAGTCATTTTAGTATATACTATGTAAAGTTATGGAGAATATAAAATATGATTTGATTGCAATTCTTTATATTAAGAAAATTGTTTAAAATGTAAAAATTCTACTTTTTGTGTTTAGAGCACTTTTTATGGTTTATTGTAACCATGACAGAAAAGGAAAAAGGACAGTTAAAGTTCTATATTTAAAAATAGTGATTTGTAGAACTGATGTGATCTTTAAGATACTAGAAAACTAAGTTGAAAGTGTTATTTCTGCATCAATTTTTTTGCATAAAAGCTGTCTGTAATATCTACGTAAAACTTGGATGAGCTGGTTTCATTTTCAAAGTCTTTATTTTAAAAATAAATATGTATCTTAATATGATTTTTTTTTAAAGTATACCAGCAGGTAGAAATACATGTGTTTCTAAAACTATTTTGTATATTTTCATTTCTGGTCCACACTGTAGGTAACTATTGTCACTATGTCTTAAAATAATTTAAATGTATAAAATAAATATCTTAGTTATAGTATCAATAAAAGGGAATGGCAACTATTTTTTAAATAAAAATTTGCATTCTATGTCTGTTAATATACACAGGATATTAAAAATAAACTTTATCCTTATTTTGACAGTTTCTTTCTTTTAACTATATTATCAAGGCAAAAATGCAAAATATTTAAATATTTAAATAATAAAATAATGACAGTATTTGTATCTGGTTTATTTCAGAGAGGTAACTCAAAGTACATTTTGTGCTGAGTGCGGTGGTACACACCTATTGTAATTTCTGCTATTTGGGAGGCAGAGGCAGGAGGATCACAAATTGGAGGCCACATCAGGCAACTTAGTGAGAACCATATCAATATAAAAATTAAAAAGGGGTAAGGATGTAGCTTAGTGGTAGGATGCTTGCCTAGCATTCATGAAGCTCTGGGTCCAGTCCCTAGTAAGACACACACACACACACACACACACACACACACACTCATTGTGCCAGGTTATTTTCCATTTGAAGATTGCCAATTTTAAAAAAATCTTCATTGTTCCTCTTTTCCTGCCTTCCAGTCTGTTCAACTCTATGGTTTATCAAATGGAATGCTGTCTTGGTCTGAGGGTTAATGAATGAGTTACCATCCCTAGGCCCTTATGAAGATGGTGGAGAGGTTAGTGGATGTCTTAGTTACTTTTTCTTGTTGCTGAGACATCCAAAGTTAAAGGAGGAAAGGTTTATTTAGTTTACTGTTCTAGAAGTTTTAGTTCATAGTTGGCTGCTGTAATGGCAGAGTGGCATGGCAGAAGATAGCAAGGTAGTGAAGAAGCAAAGTAGCAGGCAGCAAGCGACAAACAACCTTCTGCCCCTTATATTTTGCCTGAATTATCTCCACCTTAATCCTAGCATCGCACGTGAATCAGTCCCCGAATCACATCCTTGATTCTAGCATCACACAGTCTGTATCCAGCCACCTCCTAAAAGCCCCACCTATGACCCCATGAGGCTTTGGGGAGACTTCTAGATACAAGCCATAACACTGAGTGATTGTGAATATATATATATATATATAATTATAAAATATTTTATATATTTGTAAAATATATAACATGTACATAAAATACATATTTATAAAATATGCATGTAATCTTGCTCCAGCCAGGCATGGTGGCACAGACCTGTAATCTTAGCACTCTGAGAGTCTGAGTCAGAATGATCCCAAGTTCAGGCCCATTACTGATACAGCAAGACTGGGTCTCAAAATAAAAAATAAAAATAAGGTTGGGATATAGCTCAGTATAAAGGCCCTAGGTTCATTTCCCAGAACTGAAAAAAAAGAGATCTTGCTCCCTTCTCCACCAGGGTACTAAAGTCCATTTATTTGTTATATTGCGCACCAGGTATTATATCAGAATTATAGGCAACTTGGCCCATTAACTATATATGTTGTCTGATTTAGGTCCCAGTAGTGTCTAACACCAGGTATTTCTTTGATGCACACTTTATGGTAACTGCCTCATTTACCTACATTTCCTGGGTGTGCTGTGTGTACTCTGAGCTGATGTACGGAGAATAAAAAGAAGCAGCCATGCAAAGATATTTTATTTTGGTTTTATTTTTGTTTGCTTGTTTTTTGAGACAGGGTCTTGCTATGTAGTTCAGGCTGGGCTTGAACTGTTTAGCCTAGGCTGGCCTGGAACTCACAGACATCCCCCTGCCTCAGCCTCCTGAGTGCTGGGACTACAGGCGTGTGCCACCACTCCTGGCTAGCCATGCAAAGATTTGTGGGTGATGAGAACAGCAGGCCCCAAACCCCTGAAATAGGAAGAAGTGTGGCTTGCCCTAGAAGTTGTTAGAAGGAAGCATGGTGAATGAGAGAGAAGCAACAGATGGGGTGGGAGAAATAGACAGAGGCCAGATCATGTAGGAGTCTACTGGATATGGCCCTTCCATCTTCCTTTTTTGGAGATGAATTCGTTGTGTAGTCCAGGCTGGCCTTGACCTTGTGATCCTCCTGCCTCTATGCTGGGATTGCAGATGTGTGTCCCCTGCCTGGATCTCTAAACACTTGGTCAGGGTAGGCAAGCAATACGCTGGGAAAAAATATTTGCAAAATAGGTATCTGACAAAGGCTTCTACCCATAATTATAAAGAATTATTGCCACTCAGTAATAAAAGAATTATTCAGTATTTTTTAAATGGGTAAAGGACTTACACAGTTTACCAAGAAAGATACATAAATTTCTAAGGGTGCGACGAGAGCCCCAATATCATTAGTGATTGGGAAATGTAAATTAAAACTAAAAAGATTGAAAGAATCAAATATTGGCAAGGATACAAAGAAGCTGGAATTATCAGGCATTGTTGGTGGTAGCATGAAATGTAACAATCACTTTGGAAAAGATCTAGTTGTTTCTCACGAAACTAACCATGAACTTCAATATGACCCAGAAATTTTACTCCAACATATTTACCCAAGAGAAATAAAAGCAACACTGTATTTGGCCATTCACCTGGGAGATGTGTTAAAAAAATACAGTGAATGCTACTGCTGAGTCCTATCCAAGGGAGAGGGAGGGATCCTCAATACTAGAAGTAGCTAGGGCCAGGGATTTAGCTCAGTGCTGCTGCTCCTGCCTCGCAAGCACAAGGTCCTGAGTTTGATCCCTGGTACGGGGGGGTGGGGGGGTGGGGGCAGGCTTGTGGAACCTTAGAAACAGTGTGACAAGTTTTTAACTTGTTCAGTGAGCTCGGGTGGAGAGAAGGTGTTTTCCACTCTGCTGCAAATAATGGATCACAAACAATGCAGTAATGTGGAATTTTGTTTCAAACTGCAAATAACTTCTAAAGAAACAGATGAGATGTTAAAATTAGCCTATGGTAATGGTGCAGTGACCATAGAGACAGTTTCCAAGTGGTTTGAGCAATTTCATAATGGCTGTAATCAGTTGAAGACAAAATGAATGTTCATCAACATCAAAAACCCCAAAAAGGATAGAATGAGTGAAATGATTGGATCAAACAGACAGTTGACTAGTAGGGACATTTCTGAGGATCTGACTGTCCTTCCATTCAGAGCTTTAACAGATTTGAATATGAGTGGAGTATCAAATTTGTTCCACATGTTTGACTGCTGAACAAAAGTAACGTCCATTTGTAACTCTTTTTGGAGCTGTCCACTTGTGCTGCTTCAGATCCCAATATTTTAGTAAATGTCATCAGGGGACAGAAACTTGAGTCTGTGATTATGATGCTGAGACAGTTTCCAAGTTCTCGGTGGATATCACCCAGATGGCCTTGTGTGAGAAAAGCGCATCAGTCAAGATCCAACATCAAGGTGATACCATGTTTTTCTGACCTTGATAGAATTGTGGGATTAGAGTTTGTAACCAGGAACCTTGAATATTACAAGAGCTTATGAGAGCATTTACGAAATGATGTGAGAAAGAGACAGCCTGAGAAATGGGCAAATGGTTTTATCCTCCATCATTACAATGATCCATGTCATGCATCACTTGATACAACAATTTCTGTTAAAAACATGGCTGTCTGATTCAGTAGAGTAGCTGGATGTAAAGTCAACACTCAAAAAACGATAGCCTTCTTATACACAAATAGCAGACCCATTGAGAGAGAAATTCGGAAATAATTCCTTTTACAATAGCATCTAAAAAAATGAAATATCTAGGAATCAACCTAACAAAGAAAGCAAAAGACCTCTACACTGAAAACTA